GCGCAGTGTCCCAGGCCTGCTTGAGATGGATCTGGTTCACCGTGAGCTTCGCCGCCTCCGCGGGCGCGAAGTCTGCGACTTTCTCGCTCATCCTGGACTCCGTGTCAGTGCATCGTCTCGCGCCAGCCAAAAAAATACACACAGAAGCGGGTTGGGCTCGTGCGTGAGGCGCTCGCCGTTGAGCAGCTGCGTCACGGCGCGCTCGTATCCGAGATGCGTTATCGGGTGCCGAATGAGACACTGCGCAAACATCAGTTTACGATCGAACCGCTTCAGAGGGAATTCACCTTGCTGATCGTCGGCACAAAAATGACGAAATCCGAGCCCAGCTGCACGATGAGCGAGCACAACGTCGTAAGCACCGCCATGCGCAGCTCGTGCACCCCGCGCTCCAGAATGCGCATGAGCGGGTGCACGATGCGCGACGCGTGGTCCGAAAAGTTGACGACCTTGGACAGCTTATCGATCGTCCCAATCGCCTTGCTGCGCAGCGCGACGCTCCCGTACGTCGACTCGGCGGAGCGCATGATGATCGGGATGACAAGATGCAGGTACTCCTCGATGTTCGCGCCAAACGTCTGGAACGCGTCGAAGATCTTCATCTGCGTGCTCATGCGCTTCTCGCTCAGCTCGCCCTCGACCGCGAACACCTTGAGCAGCAGCGGCAGGATCGTCGGCAGGAACGGCTTCAGCTCGGCTCCAAGCGCGCGTCCGACGGCCTCGATGAGCGCGACGATGGGCGTCTGCAGCGCGGTGTTGTCCCAGAGCTCCGTGACGAGCCCGAGCACCTCCGCCGCGTGGTTCCGGACGTGCTGCTTGATGATGCCGATGAGGATCGCGAGCTGCTGGAGGTGGAACTCCTGCACGCGCGGCACCGTCGCCGTCCGCGTGACCGCCGTAAACGCCGGCATGATCTGCGCAAAACAAACACCCACACGATCAGCCTATATCCAACTCCGCAGAACGAACGCCGCGCACCTGCGGCAAGCTCCCCACACACTTGAGCCCCTGCGTCTTGAAGATCGACATGACGGCCTCGATGACGGTATGGTGGTACCCGCTCGACGCGGGGTCCTTGAGCACGCGGAGCAGCGCCGCGACGACGACCGTCTGGAAATAGTCGTCCGTCCCGGACCCCGTGCTCGTCACCACCGTCGACGACGTCAGCGGCACCTGGTTGACCGCCACCATCGACGTCTCGCTCCCCATCTCGTCCTCTCGATCCAACTTTGTCTGTCGCGCATCCCCTCCATCAGCCTCGCGGGTGTATACGCGGCCGAAAACGCACCTTCCGGCGATACGGGTCCATCGCGCCGAGGATCCCCATCACCTTGACGACCTCGCGCCGCACCGCCTCGCCCGCCCCAGGGCCCCCCGCCCGCGCCCGCGCCCATCCCGCCGGGCGCATCGCGGTCCGCGCGCAGGATGCGCCCCAGCAGCGGCAAGCAGCCCGGGATAGTCCACCAGCGGCGCGATCACGTACCCCGTGCTCGAGCACACGCGCCCCAGCGCGCTCAGCGCCGCCTCCCGCCTCGCGAGGCTCGGGTCCGAGAGCCCCGCGACGAGCGCGGGCATGAGCTCGGGGAGGTACGCGCGCGCGTCCTCGCCGCCGACGCTCGCGAGCGCGCCGAGGCACGTGAGCATGCTCGCGGACGGCGCGGCCGCGCTCGCCTTGGCCTTTTGCAGCAGGACGGCGAACATGGGCAGCGCGTACGGCTTGATCAGCCGCTGCGTGTTGTGCACGAGGATCGTGAGCAGGCGCGTCGACTCTTCGCGGTTGATCCTATCCCAACCTTATCAACACCCCCCCCACAAAAGAAGAAGGGAAGAACTCACGGGACGGTCGAATACTCCAACTCCGTCAACAGCTGAATCAGCGTCTTCCTCAGCGACGGCATCACATACGCCGGGTTGTGCCGCGCCATCCTCTGCCGCCATCCATTAGCCTCCCGTTCGTTCGTTTTACAGAAAGAGGAAGAAGACGCACCCCGATCAAACTCGCCGCCGTCACGCGGTTCTCAAACACCTCGTCGTTGAGCGCGATAAACAAGCTCCGCACGTTCTCCGCCTGCGACAGGTGCCGGTCGAACTGCTCGTTCAGCGAGCCGAGCACGATGTTCCGGATCGTCGGGTCTGCGGTGCGTCTGTTCGTTAGCCTTCGGAACTTCCAAATTCCAAAAAAAACAGAAGAAAAAAGCCAGGCGGGAGGAAGCGGAAGGTGAAGGAAGAAAGAAGGAGAAAGGCGACCCACCCGGATCCGCAATCCCCACCGTCAACAGCTTCCCCAGCACATCGCTCACAACGTCCACGGCGTGCCCGCTCGTCTGGTACCCCACCCCGCCTCCTCCTCCCCCTCCTCCATATCCACCCCCACCTCCTCCGCCGTACGCGCCCGCGTAGGCCCCAAGCGGCCCGAGCGCATACTCCTCCGCCTCGCGCGCGGCGCCGCCGAAGAGGCGGCAGCACGCGAGCGCGGCCGCGCGGCGCACCTCGGGCGCGTCGTCCTCGACGTACGGCAGCGCGTTCGTCTGCGCGAATTCGGTGAGGATGTGCCCTGTGTGTTCGATTTCGGCGTCAGTTCGATTTCGATTTCTCCAGTACATAATAATCGGCTAAACCGCGAAAGCGAAGGAAGGAAGGAAGGGAAGAGGGAAGACGCACCGCTAAAATCAAACTGCCCAGCGTATTCAGCGCGAGCGTCAGCAGCTCCTTGCCCGGCTGGCCCGCCCCGCCGGCGCCGACGCCCATGCCGTAGCTGTTGGACGCGCCGGCGCCGGCGCCGGTGCTGGACGAGGCCGTCGAGGTGGGCGGGGCGCCGAGGCGCGTGTAGGGCGTGCCGGAGAGGATGTGCGAGAGGAGGTCGAGGAGGCGGTCTGTGTGTGTGTGTTAGCGTGTGATCCGTGAAGAGAAGATAGAAAGACGAAAAGATGAAAGAAGGAAGAGAAAGCGCGGAACCAGAGAGAACAGCAATACGTAATCGCAAACACGTCAGCCGAAAGTCGCAATCCGAAACTCGAACGCAGCAAACAGCACAAGGTCCAACGAAGAAAGAACGAAGGCCGGAGAAAACACCCAAAAACACAGAAAAAAAAACACACCCTGAACAACCCCCAACAGCGGCGGGATCGCGCGCGCGATCTGCCCCAGGCACACGCGCAGGCTCTCGGAGAGCCCCGCGGCGAAGAGGAGGTGCAGGTGGTCGTGCAGGAGCATCGTGAGCATCGGGCCGACGGCGGCGGCGAGCAGGCCGAGCGCGGCGAGGAGCGGGTCGGGGGGCGGGGGCGGGCGGCTGGGTTCGTGAGTGAGTGTGCTTTAGTGAAGAGGGAGAGGAGACGCACCCGCGGGCGGCGGAGGCAGAGGCGGCGGCGGCGGCCTCCTTGAGGCGCGTCTTGATGTGGCTCATGACGGCCTCGAGGAACTGTTTCATCTCGGCGCCGACGGCGGTCGCGGTGTGCCCGATTGCGATTAGGGCTGCGCGGGAGCAATCAGTCTCAGAAATGATAAGAAAGGAAGGAAGGACAGCGCACCGTAGTCCCGCTCATGCGGCTTGTCGAGCTGCGAGAGCAGGTGGCTCATCGCCTTGTGCAGGATCTGCTCCTTGAACGCGGGCGTATTGTAGCTTGCGAGCGTCGGGATCATCGCCACGACCATCCTCCGCACCGCGGGGTCCCTGTTGGCCTTGAAGGCAAGGATGGCGTCGGCGGTCTCGATGAACGCGTCCTTCATGAACGCGCCCGCGTGCAGCAGCAGCTCGCGGTACGCGAGGAGACTCCCGTGGATGACCTCGGGCGCGGTGAACTTGAGCCCCGCCTGCGCGTCCGCGAGGATCTTGCCGAGGTACGCCCCGCCGGGCGCGGGCGCCGTGCCGCCCGCGGTGCGCTCGCGGGCGGCGCCGATCTCGAGGCAAGCGGCGAGCAGCTCCGCGGCGGCCTCGCGCACCACCAGCCGCGGGTCGCGCAGCGGCGCGAGGACGGCGGCGTCGAGGCACGGCGGGGAGGTGCGCGTGGAACTGCGTGGGCATATTCAGCGCGAGCTCCTTGAGGATGAGCGCACCCGCGTAGCGCGCCATTCCGAGCGCGTCGTGCTTGTCGCCGCCGCTGTGCGTCGACGTCGTCAAAGCGATTGCTGCCGGCACCTGGTGCTCCATGAAGCTCTCCCCGAACGTCGGCCCGCCCACCGCAAGGATGTGTCCCAGCGTCTTGGACGCTGCGAGGATGAGATTTGGGTCTGGGTTGGGTAGGAGGTGCTTGACGTAGTTGTAGAAGCGGAAGAGGTTGTGGTGTGAGTCAATGGTGACCTCGCCCTCCGAGTCGATGAGGTGGTCTGTGGCCATTAGAGTGCGTCAATACTACATGTATCAGCACACACCTATTGCCATTAGTCCTCCGAGATTGTCGACGCTGTTCTGGGAGTGGATGAGCTCAAAGAGGCGGCGGCTGATGTTGTCGTCGTCGCCGGCCATGTCTGCGACGCTGCGGGCGACATACCGCCGCAGCTCCATGGCGCTCTGCAGGCGGACATCCGGGTTCTTGTTCTTCAGCCCGGCGAAGACTGTCGTCAGCACGTCGGGCGCTGCGCTCGCCGTCGTCGACGCCATGGAAAGAGAAGCTGTGTGTGATGTGACGCTGACGTGTGCCTCGCAAGATTAGATTAGATCACACACAGCCTATCCCCGTTTTGCTGACTCTCGCGATGTCCTCGGGCCCATGCGTTTCAGGGCTGTTCATGAGGCTATTAACAGCCTTCATTCCACGGGCCGCTCCTTCAACCTAAGCGCCAAGCTCCGGTCACTGCCTCTGCGGTCTGCACACCCGGCCGCGATAATCCATTGGGCTAAGCAAGGGCTAAGAGGGGAGTGACCTTTAACAGTGTTGATGCCTTGAATAAAATTTACCTGCAGGTAGGGAATTATTCCCGGCGTCCGCTCTATTTGTCCTCCAAAATCAAATGCCTTGTGTTCCGTGTACATTGCACAGAGCCCAGGTATGTAAGTTGACAACGGCCTGATAGCACAGCGGCTAGTGCGTCTGCTTCAAGTGCGAAGTCCATCCCGTAGCTCTCAGCTCTCAGCAGAAGACCCCCGTTCGACTCGGGGTCGGGCCATCCGCCTTTTTCTTTCGTCTTCGTCCTCCTTTTCCTTTGTCCTGAACTGAAAAGACACTGGCATGCGTCTGCGATCGAGCCGGCGGATTTTATGGCCTGATAGCACAACGGTTAGTGCATCTGCTAAATCTCACGCAGTAGGAGTGACTTTCTGCAGAAGATCCCCGTTCGATTCGGGGTCAGGTCATTGCCTTTTCCCATTTTGTCTTACCCTAATCTTGAAAGCGAAGGCACTTGCCTTGCCCTTTCGATGAGACCGCAGAAATCAACGGCCTGATAGCACAACGGTTAGTGCGTCTGCTATAAGTGGTGTAGTCTGAAACTTTCGGTAGAAGATCCCCGTTCAACTCGGGGTCAGGTCATTCATCTTTTCCATCTCTTTTTTTTTTTTTTTGTTTCTCTCTCGTTTTGTCTTTTTTTTCAGACCCACCTCTAACTCATCATTTCGACTGTGCGCTTCAAGGCCTGATAGCACAATGGTTAGTGCGTCTGCTGAACTTGTTTATTCAGTATTGTGAGTGTTTCTGCAGAAGGCCCCCGTTCAACTCGGGGTCAGGTCACCTCTCTCTTCCTTTTTCTCACTCTCGTTTTGTCATTTCCTCCGGGCCACACTTCTGACTCGACATTTCAACCCACGCACTCGACGGCCGGGTAGCACAACGGTTAGTGCGTCTGCTAAACCTCACGAAGCGAGAGTAGCTTTCTGCAGAAGATCCCTGTTCGACTCGGGGTCAAGCCGTCTCTTTTTGCTTGTTCTCTTATCCCAATTTCAAAAAAAAAAAAAAGAGTTGCAGTAAATAAAGTCCCCTGACAGTACCTCCACGGCCTGATAGCACAACGGTTAGTGCATCTGCTGTAAGTATCCATGGCGTCGCACTTTCTGCAGAAAACTCCCGTTCGACTCGGGGTCAGGCCATTCATCATCATTGATGACATCTTTTGTCCCGCTGCTTTCTCTCTCATTTTTTCTTGGAGCGTCCTTCCTCAAGAAGCAAGTACTAGTACTCCTGAACAACGCAATCATTCCAACTCCACCGGACTTGCCAGTTCCGATGCTTTCCTCCTTCTCCCAGTAATTTAAACCATCTGGTTCAGATTCTACTCCCATCCCGTTTACACTACACTCAATGTGTATGGGTGGAAGATCTAATGGCACAACGGTTAGTGCATCTGCTATGCATGAGCTGATGCAACACAAATTCTTCAGCAGAAGGTCCCCGTTTGACTCGGGGTCGGGTCATTAACAAGTGTTGAAGTTTTTTCTTTCTTTCTTCCCCTTCGTCTTTTACATGAACCGGTGGCGACAAAGATACCCTGGCGCCGGAATATTTCAGCTCAGGATTAATCCCTCCAATCGGTGTAACACCAACCCCGCATCCCAGATGGCATGACAATTCCTCTGTGACCGGAATTACGTCCTGTTACCTAGGAGAAAATCCAGTGTATCTGATTCCACCAACGCCCTAGGTCCATGGAAAGGACCCGGTAACACGCGGCGTGGATCTGCCATCCATAGGTTGTACAGGTTGCAATCAGTACATCCCCGGTTCGTGAGGGGAAAGGGAACGTTTTGCTCCGTCTTCCATTCTACACCCATGGCTTCGCAATTGAACTTTCGAGGACGCATTGTTGATCGGGGATCCCAACACACTGAAACAGCAGAGGTTCAAAAAAAATCCTGGTCAAGTTCAAATCGTGTTGAACTCACTCTATCAAGGAAGGATGCCTGATTCGACGAAGACACAATGTTTATACACAGGACCCGGTAGCACGAGGCGTGCATCCGCCCCCCGTTTGAATGGCGCAAATACGTGCAGGCAGAACACCCCGTTCGACTCGGGGTCAGGTCATAGTTACTGGTGAAACTTTTTCATTATTTTCTCTTTTCGATTTCTTCTCTCTTCGAACCTTCTAACTGATTCTAAAGGGCTCAAAGCACGATAAAACATGTTCCATACCCCAATCTTTGAAGGAAGTAGGGCCTCAAGACAGCCGGGGTCCGAGAGCTTGAAGGAAATATCCCGCGAAGCTCGAGCAAGCACTCACATTTAGCCAACTACCGAGGTGTATGGAAAAGACCCGGTAGCACGCGGCGTGCATCTGCCAGGAATAGGTAAAGCAACTAATTTGCAGGCAGAAGATCCCCGTTCGACTCGGGGTCGGGTCATAGTTGAGGTGAAGACCCTTTTTTTTTCGTGCGCTCTTCGATCCTTCTATTTCAAAGCCGTCCACTGGCGCCAGTGTTCAACGCAGGACAACCGAGTCCGAGGGGTTGAAGGAAATATCTTGGGGAATGTTCGAGCCAGGATTCACATTCATGATTCCACCAACTCTCAATTAGTGGGCGGAAGACCCGGTAGCACACGGCATGCATCTGCCAACTATACCTCGGGAGTTGATTCGGATTGCAGGTAGGAGAGCCGGTTCGACTCGGGGTTGGGTCAAGGCGGTGTAATGGCTGCTTTTTATCCCTCTTTTACGTGAATTGCCTTTCGGATTTACTTCACGTCAAGACACCCTCCAGGTCCCATTCAGATGCTTAAATTTCTCGTCCATAGACCGTAATTAAAACATCAACCTCGCATCCCCACGGCGCTCAATGCAGGACGATTCAAGTTTGCCCGTCATCCAGTACACAACTCGGTCTTCCAGAAAAATCTCATGTACCCAGTGCAAGCTGTATGGACAAGAACAAGAACTGATCTAGACAGAACACCCCCGTTCGGCTGAGGTTTACACCGAGTTTTGTTTTTGCCTTCCGCTAATCATAATCAACCTCAACCCAGATTCTACTCTCGCAAGCAGGAGAAGTCCATGGTCATTAAATCAGCTCCCATGTTTAATGGGAAAGACTCGGGAGCACATGCATGCGACTCGTGGTCCGGTCATTGCAGTGCTACAAGTTCTTTCTTTATTCTTTCGGCAAGAAACCCAGGTATCAAATAGAAGAGGTTGTACTAGGACAGAGACAGATATTATTGAGAGGGCGCTCTAGATTCATTGGAGCACTTCCTGCATTCGTTGTGTTCGGAGTCTTCAGCAGGGTCTTCCACTGGCCTACATCAGCCACAAGAAGCATTGAACCGAGTTTTCAGCTCACCGTGTGCGAATGGACCATTGAACTCAGTTAATACCTCGAAGAGAGGGCATCCAAGCTCCCTGGCTACCTCCTGACTGCCAGGAGCGAACCCTTTGGCCTGGTGAAAGCGTCGGATCCCAGTGTAGACACTGTCATCCCATCGGAAGACGGAAATTTCCATTTTCAACTCGAGGAAGGGAAACCCGAGTTGTTCCACCTGCTCCATGCTCAGGGGTTCAACTCCCGCAGGGTCGAGAGACCAGTAGGCTGGGCGCTGCGGGCGCCGGAACCGTGACGGGCTGTCCGATTGCATATCTGCGAAGGGGCAGAGGAATAAATATCCTGGGGGTATACTACCACCACGGTTGGATAGTGTCAGTCGATATGTAATCAAGTCCACAAAGCCTGATGGTAACGGTTTCAGGATTTATAAAGCTGTCGGAGGATGAATGTACCGTAATCACAAAGGTTCGAAGTTATCCTGAGACGATCGAAAATGTGATTGGCTTGGGCTAGCCAAAGGTCGCCGTCCAAGTTGTGAATTACGCGATGAATGGAGCTACCCGTAGCATCGATATCATTTGAATTGACACTTCAATTTTCAAGGATGATTAAGGGCAGTAAAACCAATGAAGGAAACACACCGAGTCCACCCACTCTCAATAACCACGGGGCCGGTTACTGACCACCCAGAATCGGAGACCTTCAACTCAGGGATAAATCCGATCTCGGCCAAATGGTCAACATCAGAACCATCGGACCAGTGAATCAGTTCTCCCGAGTACAGAGGCTCGTCAATAGATTGGGAGCCATGGGTGGAGAAATGAGCGAAGCAAATAGCATGATAATCGTCCAATGAAATTGAATCTATGATCTTCGAGTCTTCGGGCGGTTTAAAAGCCGATGCGGTTGTCAAGGACCGCGACAATGAGTCCGCAAGGCTAGGATAAAGGTAGATGGGATCATATTCCCCGGGCGTGAGATCCACGCAAAGACGACCGGTAGAAGGTCGTATCCATATCATACACGCCCAGGAGAACTTGGAATTGGGGTTAGATACACAACGATCACAAAGATACCGTACTCACCGGGGCTGTCCCCAACACAGAGTTCACGTATTGGTGGGCATCCTACAAACGCATCGGGCTCGTGAGTGGTTAAAATATACACAGTTGCTCTTACGGCGAATTGCACATCCTGTGGAATTCGTTAACCAGTCGCAGTTGAGGTACTGGACGTACTTACAAGACAGCACCAGGCATATACTGCCGAGAAATGCGATCCGCGGTAATTGTTCAGCGTTTGTATCGCAGGGATTAAGTCTAATTCATTGCGATAATGATTAGGGTACAGGTAGATCATTTTCCGAAGAGGGATTGCAAACCGTCGTAGAAAATCGCTGCGTGTATACTAGATGAGCTTGCCGTGCCAAAGAGCTGCATAATATTTGGATGACTGAAACGGTCAAAAGAAAATTCATTAGGCAACCAAGAACGGATATATGCACACACCGAAGCGATGCATGCCGCGAAATATCTTGCCGCCATTCCTATGCTTACGGAGTACACACAAGTTCACCTGAAAAACATGTCGACACACCTCTTCAGCATTCTCGCCCTGATACAAGGCCACTGTCATGCTGGATTTGGAGCCAAATATCCGCGCAGAGTACATGCGTCGGACAGAGCACCTTCCATGTGAACGAGGCACCACAGCGGAATAGCAGTCCTGTCGTTTTTCGCTTCGCAAGTCCAAGTCCCCCATCGGGATTCTGCGAAAGTCTGTCGATTTATTGTTGGCTTCGTTCGGAAGAACTCGAGTTGTATAGTTACCCGAAGGAACGGAGGCACCAGGTGTGATATTTGTGATGCTCGTGAATCTTCCGCCAGAGAAGGCCAGATGCTCTGCGTGGGTAAAAAAGGCACCTGTGAATCTGGGGGAGGATGGGCTGCCGCTCTGAGAATATGAGTCTAGCGCACGAACTTTTCATCAGGGTGTGTCTGTCGATCTACCGTAGATTCAGAGTGGAATTCTGCTCCAAGTTGGTGCTCGTCGTCCATAAGATCGTCGTGGTAAGGAAGAACGATGCTAAGCGCCCAGCGCTTAGCATGGTGTCATGTCATGATGTGCTAAATTCAACTTGCTGTTGAGATGCCTGTAATTGAGCAATGAACCGAGGAATAGACACAACCCTCGATTTAAAACTAGGGATATAATTTCAACACACACCTATATCCATTAGTCCCCAGGTTGTCAGCGCTGTTATGGCAAAGAGGCGATGGCTGATGTTGTCGTCGCCGTCCGCCACGGGTCCCGCGACGCTGTCAGTGCGGGCGACCTACCGCTGCAGCTCCATCGCGCTCTGTAGCCGCACATACGATTTATTGTTCTTTAGCCCGGCGAAGACAGTCGTCAGCACGTCGGGCGCTGCGCTCGCCGTCGTCGACGCCATGCGGGAAAGAGAGAAGCTTGAGAGAAGCTGTGTGTGATGTGACCGTGACGTGTGCCTCGCGATTAGATTAGATCAGCACTACGTATCTCCTTCTGTTGACACCCTCGGCGTCAATCTGACAGCTGCCCGCGCGTTTGAGGGTTCAACGTTCAACAGTAAGGCTGTTCAAAAGGCTGTTAACAACCCTCATTTCCGCTGAGCGCTCCTTCAAGCCCCAAGCCCCAAGCTCCGGACACTACCTCTCAGGCTGCAGTCTGGACACCCGGCGATAATCCATTGGGCACTTGACGCTAAGAGGGAGTCCCATGGATTGACATTTACCAGCTTTGCCCGGTTCAAATTTCCTTTGCCCTACAGGTCCTAGTAGGGAATTTCCTGGCGCCCGCTATATTTGGTCCTTTATGAGATCATGTACATTCACGGAGCTCAAGTAGAGCAATGGCTTGATAGCACAATGGTCAGTGCATCTGCTCTACTTATAGTCCGATTGTCGAAGTATGAATGTTTCAGCAGAAGATCCCCGTCCAATTCGGGGTCCGGCCGTTACCTTTTTCATTTTGTCTTGCATTGATAACCAACCTCGAAACCCCTCGACCTTCATTCAACCTAGACATTTGATGGCCTGATATCATCTGCTGTACCTAATCCTTCCACACGGCGGCTTCTGTAGAAGATCCCTGTTCGATTCGGGGTCAGGCCACTGCGTTTTTTTTCTCGTTTTGTAATTATCAGACTCGCCTCTAATTCACTCAGCCTTCAATTCGTCTCTTGCATGCTATGGCCTGATAGCACAACGGTTAGTGTGTCTACTTAATTTTCATCTGGTTGAAGCTTTAGCAGAAGGTCCCCGTTCGATTCGGGGTCAGGTCACTTGGGTAGCGTCGAAGAGCATTCTTTTTGAAGGTTGCGACACCTCGAGCGCTAGCTTCGGTCCTCGACAACGGTTAGTGCATCTGCTCTTCATAATCAGTCCAATCACAGTCAAGTTCAGCAGGAGGTCCCCGTTCGACTCGGGGTCGGGTCTTGCGTCAAGGGTATGCCAATTTTTATTCCTTCATTAGGGAAAGACCCGATAGCACGCCGCGTGCATCTGCCATACATAACTGTGGACGAGAGCATTGCATGCAGGACTCCCCCATTCGAGTCGGGGTCAGGTCATATCTGCCACGAACACCTATTTTCTACCAGGCTCCTCTGGGTCTCCTCTCGGATCGATTTGCCCCAAAGGCATAGATCACCTAGAAAATCTTCTCTATAAACTCAGTCAACCTCTATCGAAACGGATCCGTGTTTGAACGCCAAGATCACATGTGGTTGACGGTTTGTAGTTCCACAAGAGAAATCCTGCTCCCGCGTATCTGATTCCACCAATGCCTTGAGTATATGGGAAAGACCCGGTAGCAGACGGCGTGCATCTGCCTCCATGTGTAGTTGCCATTTCCGCTGTACGGTAGAATACCCCCGTTCGACTCGGGGTCGGGTCATGGTCGTCGACATTTCTTTCTGTCTTCATTTTTCACAATTCAACTTTGCAGGACATTTCTCAAACTTGAACAGAGGAGGCTCAAAACAAAAAAAAGCCTGGCGAACCTCGAACTGGATTCAACTCACTCTATCAGACGAAATTCTGTCTGATTTCACCAGCTCCCAATGTGTACGCAAAAAGACCCGGTAGCACGCGGTGTGCATCTGCCATCCGTGGGTCTCGTTGATTCTTGCAGGCAGAAATTTCCCGTCCTACTCGGGGTCGGGTCATGCGGGAAGGTATGTCTTTCTTCTCATTTTGCTCAAGTCTCCTCTCAGATTTTCTCGCCCCCCTCGAACACACATCTTACAGTTCAGAATTGATTCCTCCCGTCAGTGTAAGATTAACCTCACATCCCAGATGGCATGACAATTCCTCTGTGTGCCCTGGGAAATCGGGATGGTTCCAAAAAATTCAAACCTCAAGCTAGATTGAGCTAGCTTCAGCAATCTGTATGGACAAGATCCGGTAGCACGCGGCGTGCATTTGCTGTTCATACATAGTTCGACCACTGGTGCTTGTACAAGCAGATTATCCCTGTTCGACTCGAGGTCGGGTCATTCAGCTTTCACTCTCTGCCCCCGTTGCGTGCAGTGTTTCTAACCTTGAACGTGTTTCAGACATATAAATTTTAAGGTTTCTATAAACCGACCTATTTCGCTTCCCAGATCAGCCACTGGAGTGGGGCCCGTTGGTGGTCAGAGAGCCGGTAAGCCGCCCGTGGTCCGATCTGATGCGGCGGACCTAGTCCTTAACCAAAGGTCCATCCCGGTCGGCAAGTTGTGCCGAGCAGAGCAGTGCCGATGAAGCCAAGTGATTTGCCGGACCCCCATTCCGAACGGACCTGAAAGACAGATGAGCGCAATTTGGAGTATATTGCCACCAAGTACTTACCCGAAGTAAAGAAGTGGGCGGGCAATAGGTCCACCTGACAGTAGTTGTTAGCCTCTTAGTCCGGCGGTTACGAATTTTGATGGTCTCCAGCTGGTTGTCAGAAAATTCATTCAGGCATGTTGCGATGCGGGATTGGTGAGTTAATTCCGCTCCAAACGTGTGTGCGACTCGTCGCGGACGGTTGCAGTGCCCTGGAGAAGTCGCACAGGATTGAACCAGTGATGCCGAAAATGCCAAGGAGAGAATTGATCTTGGGTTCGATCTTGGGTCTTCAGCGGTGTGCTATCATGTTGAGGTAGATTCAAGTGGTACTCGGCTATCGAGAACATCCCTCAAATATTCGAGCACACCCATTTGCAGAATTACACTCGATTGAGAACATAAGCGGCGCGCGAAACACGGGCAAACCGATCATCGATGACACATGACCTCCACTGCCTTTTGCTTCTCACTCAACTTCCATAGACCGACAGCTCGCGTACTAGACTGCGGCGCAGCCTGCCTTCACAACCAGAAATGCAACCAGATATCTTCTTCAATCTGGCACGGCGTCCGGCATCACGGTCTGTACATTTGCACGAAATGGGGCTGGTTGGATTTGGGTTTAAAAGCCCGGGCGTGGAACACACTCAACACATAAATCGAAATCTCCCTCTAACCTTTCAACCCCTCTCCACTACCACCTAATTCTCAGTTCCGTCCTCATCAAGCTATCATATTTCGCAACATGCATTTCTCCTTCATTGTAGTTCTTGCCGTCCTCGCCGCCAACGTCTCTGCGGCGCCGGTCAACCCACTCTTTATCAGGGCTGGCACCTGCGACATCCTCCGTATGTGCTTACCAGCGCTTTCCTTTTGTTCTGTCACTCAGTGGATCTACAGCCTGTGTTACTGCCCTCCAGCCGTCGTTCCCGGCGTGCGCGCCCGCCGTTACTGCGAAGGGAGCTAGTGCGTTTGATTCTAGAGTAATTCATCCGTCGTTACTGAATACGGCCACTCAGACACCCCATCCAACACCGCCTGCCTCACCGCTGCGGCGAAGGGCACCGCCGCCTTCGTGAGTATCTAAATCCCTGCTTGTGACCATGGCATTTAATATCTGTCAGCCTGATTCATGTGTTGCATGCGCCCCTCAATTTGGTGTCACCGACCCCGCCAACAGATCGAAGAAAGTGCCGCGGACGCCTCAGAAGAACGCGCAGCGCGCCGCTGCCGGAAAAGCTAACAACGCGCAGGCCGCCGCTGATACGACTGCGAAGAACGCACAGACCGGTGCTGGTGCGACTCCGAACACCGTGCAACCTGCGCCGGCGCCGGCGCCAAACGACGCACAGGCCGCCGCCGCGGCCCCGGCTCCGAACAACGCCAATGGCGCTGTCCCTCCCCCCGTCCCCGCGAAAAATACGAAGAAGCCCGCTGGCACTACTGCTCGTCCTGCCCCGCGAGCGACTTGCGACATCAAAGGCACGTCTTGAATATGCCCACGAAGTCTCATTTCATACTTACATAACTCTGAATCAACAGCCTGCACAATTTCCCTTGAGCCTTCGTTCCCTGTTTGCGCGCCGGCGGTCGGGAAGCTGGGAGCTGGTGCGTAGCCTCCTAATCGTTTCGCAATTTCTGTTCATCGCCATTTCAGACGACACTTTGAATCTTGCATGCCTCGCCGCCGCCGCAAAGGGTGCCGCCGCCTTCGTGAGTGCTGCTCTTAATGTCCCGAGTCTCAGTGTTAACGTCGTGTCGTGAAGCCCTCCGCATGCGACGGATGCGCCGCTCAATTCGGTGTGACGGACCCGAGTGCCGCCACAGCCGCCGGCCACGCTTGAAGAAGTAATAATAATAATAATCCAATGATACAGTCGTAATTACCCGATCATTCCCTTACCGTCCTTTAGCCTACTCTTCAGCATAGCTATCCCAACGCTTTCTTGTTTTGTACTGACTATTCAATCTTAAGTTGTGAAGATTAAACACCGTCAAATGGTTCTGCTATCCTTCCTGCCTACATCGCCACAGCGAGGCCCACGCCTAAGCATTATAACGGTCGCCATTTCAATTTCTGCTGCCGAACTCGTAGTAAATTTCAGGCCTTTGTTCAATAGCTCGAGTACGATGATACGTCAACTTCGGTTCAACATCAACTTGTTCAAGTCGAGTTGACTCCAGGGACTGTTTTGCACATATCTATCGATGAATTAGCAGAAGGCTGAGGGCCCGAGAAAATTCAGAAGAGCCTAATATCAAATCTAGTCGCTGCCCTGAAAAAGCTCGTCCGTTCAACCATTGAACCAACTCAGTGCATCAGGAAAAAGTGGAACCACGACATAGTACCACAGAGGCTATGTATCATTTGTAGTCGTATTGACAAGTACCCCTTTATGTAGCATCTGTAGCCAACCGTCATATTTCTGTAGCCCCATATAGTGCCCTGTAGTCAACCGGCCTGCGACGTAGATTGGCTGTAGTCCTTTCTATTTCGTCAAGAAAAAGAGTCATCGAACCCAATCTATCACATTTTGCACTTTGTATTCCCTTTGCGTTAGAAGACTCTTTGATCTATCTCGAGTTGTGAAGTCAGAAACTCATTTGTATTGTGAATAATAAATGCTATTGACGGGAATCGAACGACTGACCTCTCGCGAACGAAGAGAAATTAAGAAAACAACATACTACTTTTCTACTACGGAGCCCTTTGCGGACACCAAACTGAACACACCATATCGGGATTCATACCTATTCCCTTATTACCAACTCCGTTTCAACTAACACAAGCCCATTTCGATAGTTGCTACTCCGGAAAATTGGGGCTATACAGTGGTAATGTTCAGCGAGCCAGAATAATCTAATTATTAGGCAGATTTCGGCCGAACACTGAGCCTACATCCGAGAGACTCAAATAAAACTAGAAGAGAATCTAACTCCAGCTCAGGTTCTGGACAGTCGGCTGTCAATATATCTGGAGGGTAGGCTACATCTTTCCATGTTGGCTCCATAGCACATGTGGACCATGTTGCATCAGCCTTAGCCATGTGATACAACATCGGCTATGTATTTTCCGGTACTGACTACAGGTGTCTACATCGGACTACATATCCGGTCGCTCGGCTACATGGATCACAGATGGATACACAAATCTTGCCTTGACTATGGAGGATTTATTTTTTCTGATGTGAGTCACATGATTTGCATGATTTGCTAGCGTAAGTCAAGTCACATGTCCACACGACCCTTGTCATCTCCTTTTCCTCTTTCCCTCAAATATACCTTAGGACGCGTCCATCGCGTCGCTCGTGTCTCTCCATCGACTTGCTGCATATTTAACGGCAAATCCACGTCTCCAGAGATGCCTGTCCCCTCGGAAGTGATCGAAATCTCCGACTCGGACGACGACGCGCGCCCGCTGCCTCCATCCTCCTCACAATTTTCCCAGCAATCTTTTAACAGCGATCCA